AAGTAAAAATAATTCTTAGCTCATAGGCCATATAAAAACAGGTCCTGGTTACAAGCCTTTGCTCTAAAAAGTTGATGCTGTCTGTCACAGACGAAAACTTTTCCTTCTGCTCATTTAGATTTAGTGCTTTGGGCCTTTGAATCAAACTGACGAAAAGGAGAGAGAAATTGCATTCGTATATGCACATTGGAGAAAGGAAATGGAAGACAAAAAGAGAAAAGAATTGGGTAATGACCATAGAGAACAAGATAGGTCCTTAGGACAGGAGGGAGAACAGGTGGCCTGTTACAGTGCCTCTCCTGAGAGCTCTGGTCCTGGTGCCGACTTCTCAGGAGCAGGGACAAGAGTCGATCTTCTCTAGTCCTAAGCTCTGGAGAAGTGTGTGGTGTCAGGGTTCCTTTTGGAGGCTCTGCTTTTAGACAGTGAGGGAAGTCCTGGCCTCTGTCGACTCTCAAATGCCTTCAGCTCAAATCGACATTCCTGGACCCCTTTGATATTAGAAGTCGTCTCTATCCTCTGGATCCCAGACTCATCTGGAGAAAAGCAGAGGCTCCAGCGATCTGTTTCTGGAGTTTGTATGTGGCTTCCAGGCAGGTGACTTGCACCATCAGGAACTGTGGTACACTTGCAGTATTTAAAATATAACCCTTCCTACAGACTCTCAAACCGCACCACCTACACACAAGTCTGGAAGGCTCCTGCAGTTTAGGGGGTAAGAAAAAAAGTGTTATGTTGTGAATCTAGCTTGAACTCAACACAGACCATGGCTTAGAACACTTGGTCCCCAGACAATGCTGCTACTTTGAGGGCTGTGGAGCCATTAAGAAGTCAGGGATAACTGGCAGAAACAGCTCACTAGGATCAAGCTTTTGAAAGTTATATCCTAAACCCTGATTTTGTCTGCCAGAATAGGAGGCCCTCTCCCACACAGTCCATCCTCCATGAACACTGCCAGGCTTCCTCACCATGATGGACCAAAATCCTGAACTAAAATAAACCTTCACCCCATTGCTTCTATCACGTATTTTGATCACAGAACCAAAAGAAGTAACCAGTACTGAGAGAAATAGGTATATATGCAACTTACGGTTGAACATCCTCTTTACAGAGCTCCCAGGGGTAGGACCCACAGTTTTGATCTGTCAAGCACCTCCTGATCCGAACCAGGCATATGTATGCAATATAGTCACAAGGTAACCTCCATGTTCACAGCAGGTAGAACTTGGATAGACAACCCACAAATTCCAATGTGCTACCCAGAGAAATAAGATCCTCTGGAAGTATGCCACCCCAGGAAACCACCACGCCCAGGACTTGTTGAAGATGATGGGCAGTTTTCAAAAGGGCATATCCTTGTGCAAGAGAGGGAGGTTAGGGCCAGGCAGGTCAAGGGAGATGGCAAGGAACTATGGGATGCCCACATTCCACTGCGAGGCTCATATCACATGCCAGAGAATCTGCTGTTCTGCACAAATGGTTCACCCACGTTAGCATATTTTTACCAAGAAGAAAATTTAAACCTGCCACTTGGACTGCTGAATGTCATTTTGATTGTCTCCTGCTTGGCAGACTAGCCCTCCTTTCAGTCAAATACATGTACAATTGATTTAGCCAAGCCTTGGCTATTGAGAAATCTGTGGCCTTCGGGTCAGAATTCACTCAAAAATACGGACAGTCAACCAACACAGTCAGGACCCAAGCAAGGTTAACATCAACCTGGAGAGGGAAGGAGCACCACCACATGCATTCCTAGCAAACATGGTGGGAAATGTGCCCCAAAAACGAAATCTCTTTTTGGTAGAGCTTTGTTAGAGGTTAGATGTCTACTCTCTTTTCATCCACCTTGATTTGGATGCGTTCTGTGCTAGCTCTTGATTTAAGACTGGCCTTTGTACTTAGTTAATATTATATATTCCACATTGTGAAATAAGTTAAACAATGATGGTATGTTAAAGCAATAGTTTATGAAGTATCCCTTCGTAAGAGATAATGAATCTAAGTCTCGAGAAATGACCAATGAGTAGAGGCTCATAACTGCTTTTATTTTATAAGGATTAAAATGTGTGTTCAGTCAGTCAGTCAGTGAATACAGATTTACCAAAGTCTACTGTGTTGGAAGCATTGTGCTAGTGGAGTACAATGGAAAACAACATCCATCAAGAGGGAAGAGCATGGGCCATGACAGGGAAAGGGGAGAGGGAACCCTTGGTTTTGTTTTTAAATTAGTTGAGAACAGGCTTTGGTCATCAAGAATGACTTCTCTCAGGCTGTCTGTGACACTTAAACGGAAATCTGAAGCCAAGGCAAAGTCCTCAGCTGACAAAGGGTCATTAAAACCTGTGTGGAATGGTCCAAGAGGAGCCTGGGGAAGCAAACTGGCAGTCGCTGGGGGTGTAAGGAAGGGGACATCACCACCACCATGCAGAGGAGGAAGGGAATCATGGAAAGAAATTACAGAAATGCAGATGCATTTTCGGCAGGTGGCCATGGGCAGAGGGTTTTGGAATGCGGTTGATGGGGCTTGGAAGTGATTTGATACAGGAATGCGATGAAGGCACAGAATTTTCTAGTACTCTTCACACTTTCTTGGTCTATTTCTTTGGGGTCATTTGTCATTAATTGAGGCCATTTAAGCTATGACGTTGTTAAATAATTTATTATTTATTCATCACTCTGTCCTTCAACAGTCGTGTTGATTAACAGAAAGACAAGCCAAGTTTATATTCATAATTGAAATGTGTTCATGGACATACTAAAAGGGGGGGGGAGAGGTGAACTTAAGTGTGAGCTGTTTGCTGGTGCAGCAGGTCTCGGCTCAGACTGCTCCAAACGTCAATCTGTAACCACCTGTGTCTACTGCCTGTCTACCGGACAGAGCAGAGCCAGAGCTATTGAATCCCTGGGAGTGAGAGAGCCTCTGCAGGCGGGGAGGGAGAGGGTTGAGAGAAGTGAACTCTGGTGGGTAGGGTTACCCCGTCTGGTTAACTGTCCCACCTCCAGGACATCTTTCCTGGAAGAGGGTGAGCACTTGATAGTAAGTGAGCGATTAAAGGCCTAGTAAAGCAAGATTTTCTAAAGCAAGAGTTTAGGACTTCAAAATAGCCCCCAGCGAGGTAGAACAAAGCTTTCATTTTGAGCTAGCTGAGACTGATAGTCTAGAAGACTTGAAGATGCCAGAAAAGGAAGCGGGTGAGCCTGGGACTGAGAAGAAAGGCGCAGAGCGGGCGGGCAGGGAGGGTAGGCAGGGAGATGTAAACTTGGCACATGGCTGACATCAAAAGCCAAAAGAATCATCAGATCACTGGGAAAGAATGCAAAGTAACCAAAAAGGAAGGGGCTTGGGACTCTCCTTCGGAGACACCAAGTCTTGACTTCATTTAAGACTTATTTGCATTACTTTAAAGCCGAGAGAGATCATTTTTTTTATACTAAGAAAGACGATCCCCAAATATGAAGAAGCCCAGCCAGCTCATGAATGAGCCAGACTTGGAACCCAAAACTCTTGAGAGATTGTGTAAAGACCGTGATTTTCAGTACGGAGACTATCAAGGAACCTGGGGTTGATAGAAAGGACGTGGCCACTCATGACTTCTACTGCTATGACCTTCAGTAGGCAACATCTTTCAACATTACAGCAGGATTATACATGAGATTTCATGCAAATACCCTGGCGCCCTTTGCTCCTTTCCTCCACCTAGCTTAGAAAAATAAATTGTCCTAGATGTACTTTAGTATAAATTAATATCTTTATCCAAATGATTATGAGACGCATTAAAACAAATTAGGCTTTCTCTGCTGGCCTCCCAAGGCGCAGAATTAACTGGAACTCTACAGCCTGGCTTCAGGCTAAGCAGCTGTGGAATCTTGAACTGCTGGCTCCTTCCCTAAGGCCGCTTGGTTCTTATCAACAGAACCTACAAGGTAACCTCTGGTTCTTATCAACAGAACCTACTACATAACCTCTGGTTCTAAAAGTCATTTATGACCCAGTGGCTATTTTTTTTTTTTTTTTTTTTTTTTTTTTTTTGGTTTTTCGAGACAGGGTTTCTCTGTGGTTTTGGAGCCTGTCCTGGAACTAGCTCTTGTAGACCAGGCTGGTCTCGAACTCACAGAGATCCGCCTGCCTCTGCCTCCCGAGTGCTGGGATTAAAGGCGTGCGCCACCACCGCCCGGCCCCAGTGGCTATTTTTAATTAAGGTCAATCAATCTTTTTTAAGTTCAATTTAACTTCAAATTTCATCGGTATGAGAAGCCATCCTTGGGGTTGGGGGGGGGGGGGGGTGCAGGAATGAGTACCAAGTTCACTACTGGGAACCAAGGGATAAGAAATAGCCTGACTTCGGAGATTGAAGGTCTGTGTCTACCTGGAACTATTAAGAGTAGATGTTTGGAGTTGGATGGTGGTGGCACCCGCCTTTAATTCCAGCACTGGGGCAGGGGCAGAAGCTGGCAGATCTCTGTGAGTTCAAGGCCAGCCTTGGCTACTGAGCTAATTCCAGTTCACAGAGAAACCCTGTCTAGGAAAAACAAAAGCAAACAAACAACAACAACAACAAAAGAGTAGATGTTCGGAATGCCAGATCTACCACTCCTTGTCAGAGCTGTGGCTGAGTCCCAGTCTTGTGACAAGGGAGTGCACGACCTGTTTGCTCTTGTGTACAGTAAATGGCAGGCTTGATTCACAAGATAATATATAAGTGCACTAAAAAGAAGGCAGAAAGTGGGAAAGCAGGAAATTACTGGCAGAAGAGGAAGAAAAGCAGAAGCAGGCAAAGTTAGGAAAACAAAAGGTGAGGTAAATGGAATTACAAGGTGGGGAGGGGCAGGGGACGTCTGCAGAGAAGGGACTGGAGCCAGTCCGACTGTGGGAGGTACTGAGGTGGCCGGCTGCTGGGCTGCTGACTTGCCAAGCAGGCACCAGGTGGAGGAGGGGAGCGCGAGGGAGGGAGGGACTTGGCAAAGGGCAAAGGCAGGCAACACTTAAAAGGGGAATGACACTAGGTGGCTAATGCCACCAGTGACCTCCGATGCCCAGGGCAGGAGACCTCAGGAGGAAAATATATCCTGTGTCCCAGGCTCCTCCAGAGACAGGCACACTGGAAGAGCACGACCATGTGCGAGCTGTATAGCAAACCGGACACCCTGGCGCTGCGGGGCAAGCACATCGGGTAAGGAGCCTTAGCGGGCAGAAAGGGGCAGAGGACAAAACAGTTGGAGCTGGGTGGGAGAGACAGAGCGCCACACCCCCCGGGCTCTGGAAGGAGAGTTCTGCCTGTCCAAGAGGTACTCCTAGAAGCCCCAACCTGAGCTTTCTGTGTCTCCCAGAGGCCGGGAAGCAGGTGGCTGGAGGTGCCGGCTCCTCCAACTCACACTCTCCTGAAGGCGGGTATCCAGCCTTGGGAAAGAGCGCAGTGAGAGGGCTGGGGGAACACGCCTCCATGCTCATCAACTCTACAGCTGAACTCAGAAATCATTTGAGTGATGGCTCCGAAAACAAACACATTCTGACAACCTCTGTTTAAAGTGAACTTTTCCCATGTGTTTGGTGAGGCAATAAAGCGTTTCAGCAGCTAGCAGAAAACTTAAATCCCCTAAATAAAACGCGGGGGGCTTCGCGAGCACATTATAGCTTCTTCTTAAGCTGGGTCCTCACGTCGATTTTTAAATGCTGTGTTCTCCTGGCGTTTGTTTTGTCCGTGTTATGTGTTAATAATAGAACTGTGTATAAAAGACTGGCCTGAACTCTGGTCCCAGCTAGGTGTCGTGTTCGTTCATCCCTGTCAAGTCTTATTATTAACATTCCAGGAGCAAAAGAGAATGAGGGAGATAATATCTTGTGTATGGGTTTTTAAAGGACAATACGGACTGTGCCCTAACGTTGTGGAAGCAGCTATCCATAGTGCGCTTGTACCTGGTGCTGTCGTCAATGCACAGTGCACAGACCAAGTGATAAGGGAAAGAAGCAATGTGTTCCGGGCAGAAATGCTGAGCAGGTTCTGGTACAAAAGCTCCTGGCTTCCATCAGGAGGGTTCTAAAAGGTCGAGGAGACTAAGACCTCTCTCACAGTGGCCCAAGTTCCTCCCCCCACTCACTGATTGACACCTTTTAAACTAGATTCATTTGGAAACATAATTTCTGAGGGAAACCGGCAAAGTCTGTGAAAGGAGAAGAGTAGTATTGGAGATGGGATAAGGGAGAATTTTACAATCTGAGAGCCAATGTGGAAAGTACCTTTAAAAGGAACAGAGCCCTCTGCAGCCTGCAGCTCAGCTCTCAGTAAGACCCAAGGTTCTCTGTGTGCCTCGTAATTTGTAGATACAATCTAACCGTTGACTTTGAGTCCACAAGAATTCATCCCCCCCCTCTTTTAATATTAGCTGATGCTGAAAAATCATATAAATTAGTCTACTGGTGGTGGCGCATGCAGAGGCAAGCGGATCTCTGAGTTCCAGGACAGCCAGGACTATACAGAGAAACCCTGTCTCAGGCAAAACAACAAAAACACCTGATATGTCAGAAACAGATAGATGTTTTAATAAATATTATCTTATATAATACCTACACCTGTTTCCCCCCCTCTCTCTTTCTCCAAATTATAAGGAACTTTATAACTAAATATAAATAACTTAGAGCTAAATACTACAAAGAGAATTTTCATGTATTTTGAGTGGCACTTGTCCTGTATCAAATAAATGACTTTCCCATCTTAAATACTTAAATTCGTTTGTTCAGGGATGCTTTTGTGAGCAAAATAAGCCCCCATAATTCTTGGTTATTTCAATGAACACTTATGGCGTAATATATGGCCAAGCACAATGCTACTGAAGTTTCTGATCTTGGCCCAATGGACATTTAAGCCTAAAACTATGGTTTTTATTTTGGTGCTTTTGCATATGTAAAAGAACTCTGCATATATCCTAGGGGTTTGTGGAGACTTTGCAATATTTATTAAGGTGAAGTGCAGCTGTTTAAAAGTGTTTTGATTATCGGGAGTAGTGAGTAACCTCAAACTTTAAAAGGACTTACAGCTATCGTAAAAGTTGCTGTAGGTTTTTGTACAATATTAAGGATTAGATCTTAGCACTTACGTCTATTAGAGAAGCAGTTCATGAGAGAGCTATAGCCCATCTCCTGGTTTATGTAGGTTTTGTCTTGTTTTGTCTCTGTGATAGGGTTTCTCTGTGTAGTCCTGGCTGTTCTGGAACTCACTCTGTAGACCAGGCTGGCCTTGAACTCAGAGACCACCACCGGTAGACTAGTTTATATTTTTTTTTTCAGCATCAGCTAAAATAAAAAGAGAGAGAGAGAGAAAATTCTTGTGGACTCAAACTCAACAGTTAGATTGTATCTACAAGTTAAGAGGCCCACAGAGAACCTTGGGTCTTACTGAACGCTGCAGGCTGCAGAGGGCTCTGTGCCTTTTAAAGGTACTTTCCACCTTGGCTCTCAGGAAATGTCAGAAACTGCTGTTAATAGATGTTATCTCATGTAAGACCACCTATTTCCCCTCCTCTCTTTCTCCAAATTATAAGGAAATGAATAGTTATCACCCTATGTGAGGGTGGCCAACTTTGTTCCAGTAGAATAAAATGTCCCAAAGAGAGCTGAGTTTTAAGTAAGCTGATTGGTACACCTGTAAACAGAACTGTTAAACTGTGGATATTTTAACAAAGAAATGTGAGCAGTGACTCCAGCGGCGAATTAAGAGGAGAGATTCACACTAATGTAGAATGAACAAACGATGTGGTCACTTGGGCTCTGTTTTCCCTTTCCTTTATAATTGAAATTTGTTTTAATTTTCAACTGATGATTGACCTCCATTGAGAAGGAAAAATACTGCATTGTCTGACGGGACCAAAGTATTTCTTTTGCCTATGTCTAGGCCCTCTTGCAAAGTTTTCTTTGCTGCGGATCCCATCAAAATAATGCGAGCCCAGGGACAGTACATGTTTGACGAGAAAGGCCAAAGGTACTTGGACTGCATCAACAACGTGGCTCACGGTAAGCAACCTGCGCGCAGAGCTTTGGAGGAAATGCCTGTGGAGCCCGGTTCATCTCGGGGAAATTTCATGTCAGCTGTCCCTCTGCTGAGTCGCCCTAAAAGGGGAAAGCTTCCGTAAAACGCGGGGAGAAGGAAGCCAACCCCTTTCTCTTTTTCCATCAAAATTCCCCTCTCCTCCCAAGCTCTTATGGCTGTTGACTGTTCCTTTATGTCCTACATTTTAGTGGGACACTGCCACCCAGAAGTGGTCAAAGCCGCGGCGAAACAGATGGAACTACTCAACACGAATTCTCGCTTCCTCCACGACAACATCGTGGAGTACGCCAAGCGCCTTACAGACACCCTGCCGCAGACGCTCTCTGTTTGCTACTTTACAAATTCGGGGTACGTGTCTGGTTTCTGCCATCCTCACGCCCCATTTACGCCTGCGTACCTTTTCCTTTTGATGCGTGGTGTGATACAGATGTCTATAAAAAAAAATTAAGGAAATTCTGCCACTCACTAAGGGACCTTGATTAGAAGCAGACCTTTCTGTATCGTTTATTTCAAGACTCCGAGCATAAGAGGACACAGTGACATCATCTTGTCACTCAGTAAAATGTGCAATATAAATGGCAGGCTCACATAGTCTATTCAATACATAAATGCAGATCTCAGCAAATAAATGACCCTCCTAACCAAGTGGTAATTTCGTAAGATTTTTTTTTTTACTAACTTGCGTTCCTACAATAATTGAGCATATTTTCCCAACACAAACATGAGGAAATTCAAGTGAAGATACATTCCAACTTTTACATTTTGTAAGCGTAAATGGTTACGCACCCATCCTGTGGATAACTCTACAGGTATCAGAAAGTGTGGTATGCAGATGCATGCCCAAGGATGTGTGAAGCCGGAAGTCATGTTAGAGAAAAGCAGTATACAGCATTCTGTTTTTAAAGGGTTAACTGTATTGAATTTGTTATTTAGAAAGCTATAATGTCTGCTTGTGTGATTTTCTGTGGCCCCTGTTTCCATAAGGTATTTTATAATGAGCACATCATTATTTTGTTTTAGAAAGAACTGAGATGGCCTTTGAAGATCTCCTGTATTGTTAGAAGCCTCCTTGCCTTGTAAAGTGAAGTATAGTGTTTGCCATCTTTAGAGAATCCCAGACTATCAAAGAGAAATGGGTGCCAAACAGTGCAGTCGTGAGAGAACACACATGATGCTGCATACTTCCTGCAAAAGCAATAGTCTCAAAGTCGTCCAGGCGTCTGTCTAGATCCTGGCTATATGTCCAATCAGCTGTAAGCCTTGCTCTGGTTCCCATAGAAACGGAGATGGCAATACTTGCCTTGCAGCATTATTGTGAGAATACACAGAAGCAAATGCTCAGCTGATCACAAGCACCCCTTGAGCGGTGTTTATCCAAGTAAGGAAAGTATATTTAGACTCTTAAACTAGGTACAATAACATGATGATGTTCTTTCCTTAATCAAATAATGAGTCCCTGCGACATGATTGGTAGCCAGGCTAGAGGGTCTTCCATCCTTCCTGAGATAGGGTATTCAATGGCGGCTAAGGGTCTTCCATCCCTTCTAGATAGGGTATACAATGGCAGCTAAGGGTCTTCCATCCCTCCTAGATAGAGTATTCAATGGGGTTTTCAGAATCCTTTTAAAACTAGTCATCACTGGTGCAGCTACAAGAAGTGGGAAGCTTGGCTGTCATTTTTCTGGGTTTCTTCTGTGTCTTAGTCCTTAATGGCTGTGACATGTGTTAGAAAATGACATTGAACTGGGCGGTGGTGACACACACCTTTAATCCCAGCACTCAAGATGCAGAGGCAGTCAGATCTCTGTGAGTTCGAGGCCAGTCTGGTCTACAACAGCTAGTTCCAGGACAGGCTCCAAAGCTACAGAGAAAGCCTGTCTTGAAAAAAAGCAAAAGCAAAAACAAAAACAAGGAAGGAAGGAAGGAAGGAAGGAGAAAGAAAGAAAGAAAGAAAGAAAGAGAAAGGAAGAAAGAAAGAAAGAAAGAAAGAAAGAAAGAAAAATGATATTGAGAACTTAGGGTGACCAAGAAGGAGTGGGAAAGAAATTTAAATTCTGCATTATGCTTCTCTGGATAAAGGTCGTCTTACAATTTTTGTAACTAACACTGAGTCATTTTAAAAAAAGATTGTCACCTGTCCCTTCTCTGTCTTATCTCAATAGATCCGAAGCCAATGACTTAGCCTTGCGCCTGGCACGGCAGTTCCGAGGCCACCAGGATGTGATCACTCTTGACCAGTAAGTCTTAGGCACGGGGTTTCTAAGGGAGAAGCCCCCTCAGAGCCAGAAGTGTACCAATCTGTACCGAACCTATCTATACCAAAACACAGGCACTTGTGGAGAAGGGTGTCATGGAACTGTCACGGAACAGCGATTTGAAATTCCACAATAAGGGGCTGAACTTAGCTTAAATCCAGAGGCTAACTTACTTTCTAAGCCCCTGGAAATGCAGGAGGCTTTCCAGCATATCTTGAAGCCTGCAGCTTTGTGGGCTTGATGTGAAACCAGGCTGACATTTTACACAATTGCACCTGCGGCGGCCTCTGCATAACTCAATCATTTCCAAAATTTTTTTTAACTTTTTTTTTTAATTGAGAAAAGAAAAAAAAAACAAATTTCCTCCTCCTCCCAGCCTCCCATTTCCCTTCCCCTCCTCCCACCCTTCTCCCCCTCCCCCCACTCCTCTCCCCCTCCCTCTCCAGCCCAAAGAGCAGTCAGATTTCCCTGCCCTGTGGTAAGTCCTAGGTCCTCCCCACTCCGTGCATTTCTAGGAAGGTGAACATCCAAACTGGCTAGGCTCCCACAAAGCCAGCACATTACGTAGGTTCAAAACCCCGTGCCATTGTCCTTGGGTTCTCAGCAGCCCTCATTGTTCGCCATGCTCAGAGAGTCCAGTTTTATCCCATGCTTTTTCAGTCACAGTCCAGCTGGCCTTGGTGAGCTCCCAATAGATCAGCTCCACTGTCTCAGTGGGTGGGTGCTCCCCTCGTGGTCCCGACTTCTTTGCTCATGTTCTCCCTCCTTCTGCTCCTAATCGGGACCTTGGGAGCTCAGTCCAGTGCTCCAGTGTGGGTCTCTGTCTCTGTCTCCATCCATCACCAGATGAAAGTTCTATGATGATATGCAAGATATTCGTCAGTATTGCTCTAGGATAGGGTCATTTCAGGCTCCCCATCCTCAGCTGCCCAAGGAACTAACTGGGGACCTTGGCTTGGGTATCTGGGAGCCACTCTAGGTTCAAGTCTCTTGCCAACCCTAAGGTGACTCCCTTAACTAAGAACCGTGCTTCCGTGCTCCCCCATCCAACCTTCCTTCATCCCAATCCTCCCCCTTCCCCAAGCTCCCCCCATTCTCCCCCTCTCCCCCCTCTCTCCCCATCTCCCCTTACCCCCATCCCACCCCACCCCCAAGATCTCAATTTTCTCCCCGGCAATTTTGTCTACTTCCCATAGCCAAGAGGGCAACTATATGCTTTTCCTTTGGTTCACCTTCTTACTTAGCTTCTTTGGGATCACCAAGTGTAGACTCCGTGACCCTTGTTTATGGCTAGAAACCAATTATGAGTGAGTACATCCCATGTTCATCTTTTTGGGTCTGGGATACCTCACTCAGGATAGTGTTTTCTATTTCCATCCATTTGCATGCAAAATTTGAGAAGTCATTGTTTTTTAACGCAGCATAGTACTCTAATGTGTAGATATTCCACACTTTCTTCAACCATTCTTCCATTGAAGGGCATCTAGGTTGTTTCCAGGTTCTGGCTATTACAAATAATACTGCTATGAACATAGTTGAACAAATGCTCTTGTCATGTGATAGGGCATCTCTTGGGTATATTCCCAGGAGTGGTATTGCTGGGTCCAGGGGTAAGTTGATCCCGAATTTCCTGAGAAACCGAAACACCGATTTCCAAAGTGGTTGCACAAGATTGCATTCCCACCAGCAATGGATGAGTGTTCCCCTTCCTCCACAGCCTCTCCAGCAAAGGCTATCATTGGAGTTTTTTACTTTAGCCATTCTGACAGGTGTAAGATGATATCTCAAAGTTGTTTTGATTTGCATTTCCCTGATTGCTAAGGAGGTTGAGCATGACCTTAAGTGTCTTTTGGCCATTTGAACTTCCTCTGCTGAGAATTCTCTGTTCAGTTCAGTGCCCCATTTTTTAATTGGGTTAATTAGCATTTTAAAGTCTAGTTTCCTGAGTTCTCTATATATTTTGGAGATCAGACCTTTGTCTGTTGCAGGGATGGTGAAGATCTTCTCCCAGTCAGTAGGTTGCCTATTTGTCTTGGTGACAGTGTCCTTTGCTTTACAGAAGCTTCTCAGTTTTAGTAGGTCCCATTTATTCAATGTTGCCCTTAAAGTCTGTGCTGTTGGGGTTACACATAGGAAGCGATCTCCTGTGCCCATCTCCTGTAGGGTACTTCCCATTTTCTCTTCTATCAGGTTCACTGTGTTCTGACTGATAGTGAGGTCTTTAATCCATTTGGACTTGAGTTTTGTGCATGGTGATAGATATGGGTCTATTTTCATTCTTCTACAGGTTGACATCCAGTTATGCCAGCACCATTTGTTAAAAATGCTTTCTTTCTTCCATTGTATACTTTTAGCTCCTTTATCAAAAATGAGGTGTTCATAGGTTTGTGGGTTAAAATTCAGGTCTTCTATACGATTCCATTGGTCAACTTCTCTGTTTTTATGCCAGTACCACACTGTTTTCATCACTGTAGCTCTGAAATAGAGTTTGAAGTCAGGGATGGTAATGCCTCCAGACAATCCTTTATTGTATAGGATTGTTTTGGCTATCCTGGGTTTTTTGTTTTTCCATATAAAGTTGATTATTGTCCTCTCAAGATCTGTGAAGAATTTTGATGGGACCCTGATGGGGATTGCATTGAATCTATAAATTGCCTTTGGTAGAATTGCCATTTTTACTATGTTGATCCTCCCAATCCAAGAGCAAGGAAGGTCCTTCCATTTTCTGGTATACTCCTCAATTTCTTTCTTCAATGCCTTAAAGTTCTTGTCAAATAGATCTTTCACTTCCTTGGTTAGAGTTACCCCAAGATATTTTATGCTGTTTGTGGCTATTGTGAAAGGTGAAGCTTCTCTGATTTCCCTCTCTGTTTCCATATCCTTTGTGTATAAGAGGGCGACTGATTTTTTGGAGTTTATCTTGTATCCTGCCACATTACTAAAGGTGTTTATCAGCTGTAAAAGTTCTTTGGAGGAGTTTTTGGGGTCGCTTATGTACACTATCATATCATCTGCAAATAACGAAAGTTTAACTTCTTCCTTTCCAATTTGAATCCCTTTGATCCCCTTATGTTGTCTTATTGCTATTGCTAGAACTTCAAGTACTATATTGAAGAGGTATGGCGAGAATGGACAGCCTTGTCGTGTTCCTGAGTTTAGTGGGATGGCTTTAAGTTTCTCTCCATTTAATTTAACGTTAGCTGTCGGCTTGCTGTATATAGCTTTTATTATATTTAGGTATGACCCTTGTATCCCTAATCTCTCCAATACTTTTATCATAAAGGGGTGTTGAATTTTGTCAAATGCTTTTTCAGCATCTAATGAAATGATCATATGGTTTTTTTCTTTCAGTTTATTTATATGCTGGATTACATTGATAGATTTTCGTATGTTGAACCAGCCCTGCATCCCTGGGATGAAGCCTACTTGATCATAATGGATAATTTTCCTAATGTGTTCTTGGATTCGGTTTGCCAGTATTTTGTTGAGGATTTTTGCATCGATGTTCATGAGTGAGATTGGTCTATAATTTTCTTTCTTGGTTGAGTCTTTGTGCAGTTTTGGTATCAGAGTAACTATAGCTTCATAAAAGGAATTTGGCAATGACTCTTCTGTTTCTATATTGTGAAATACATTAAGGAGTATAGGTATTAGGTCTTCTTGGAAGTTCTGGTAGAATTCCGCATTGAAACCATCTGGTCCTGGGCTTTTTTTGGTAGGGAGGTTTAACTTTGGTATATGGTATTTATCTAAAAAAGTGTCCATTTCCTTTACATTTTCCAGTTTTGTGGCATATAGGCTTTTGTAGTAAGATCTAATGATTCTCTGAATTTCCTCTGTGTCTGTGGTTATGTCCCCCTTTTCATTTCTGATCTTATTAATTTGCAAATTCTCTCTCTGCCGTTTGATTAGTTTGGATAGGGGTTTGTCAATCTTGTTGATTTTCTCCAGAAACCAGCTTTTTGTTTCATTGATTCTTTGGATTGTTTTCTGTGTTTCTATTTTGTTGATTTCAGCCCTCAGTTTGATTATTTCCAGTCTTCTACTCCTCCTAGGTGAGTCTGCTTCTTTTTTTTCTAGAGCTTTCAGTTGGACTGTTAAGTCTCCAATGTGAGCTTTCTCTGTTTTCTTTAAGTGGGCACTTAGTGCTATGAACTTTCCTCTTAGGACTGCTTTCATAGTGTCCCATAAGTTTAAGTATGTTGTTTCTTTATTTTCATTGAATTCCAGGAAGACTTTAATTTCTTTCTTAATTTCTTCCTTAATCCAGGTATGGTTCAGTAGTTGACTGTTCAGTTTCCATGAGTTTGTAGGCTTTTTGGGGGTAGCATTGTTGTTGAATTCTAACTTTAATCCATGGTGATCTGATAAGACACAGGTGGTTACTAATATTTTTTTGTAACTGTGGATGTTTGCTTTGTTACCGACTATGTGGTCGATTTTTGAGAAGGTTCCATGAGCTGCAGAAAAGAAGGTATATTCTTTCCTATTTGGGTGGAATGTTCTATAGATGTCTGTTAAGTCCATTTGATTCATTACCTCCATTAATTCTCTTATTTCTCTGTTAGGTTTCTGTCTGATTGACCTGTCCATTGGTGAGAGAGGAGTGTTGAAGTCTCCTAATATTAGTGTGTGCGGTTTGATGGCTGCCTTGAGTTTTAGCAATGTTTCTTTTATGTACATGGGTGCTTTTAAATTAGGGGCATAGATGTTCAGAATTGAGACTTCATCCTGCTGAACTATTCCTGTTATGAGTATAAAATGCCCCTCTCCATCTCTTCTGATTGATTTAAGTTTGAAGTCAACTTTGTTAGAGATTAGTATGGCCACACCTGCTTGTTTCTTAGGTCCATTTGCTTGATAAGCCTTTTCCCAGCCCTTTACTCTGAGTAGGTGCCTGTCTTTGTGGTTGAGGTGTGTTTCTTGTAAACAGCAGAATGTTGGATCCTGTTTTCGTATCCAATCTCTTAGCCTGTGCCTTT